AGTAAAAATTCTGTGGCCCTAAGTAAAGTTTCTGTGGCCCTGAGTAACAATTCTCTGGCACTCCGTAACAATTCTGTCTGTCCCTGAGTAACAATTCTCTGGCACTCAGTAACAATTCTGTCTGTCCCTGAGTAAAAATTCTGTGGCCCTAATTAAAGTTTCTGTGGCCCTAAGTAACAATTCTCTGGCACTCAGTAACAATTCTGTCTGTCCCTGAGTAACAATTCTCTGGCACTCCGTAACAATTCTGTCTGTCCCTGAGTAACAATTCTCTGGCACTCAGTAACAATTCTGTCTGTCCCTGAGTAAAAATTCTGTGGCCCTAATTAAAGTTTCTGTGGCCCTAAGTAACAATTCTCTGGCACTCAGTAACAATTCTGTCTGTCCCTGAGTAACAATTCTCTGGCACTCAGTAACAATTCTGTCTGTCCCTGAGTAAAAATTCTGTGGCCCTAAGTAAAGTTTCTGTGGCCCTGAGTAACAATTCTCTGGCACTCAGTAACAATTCTGTCTGTCCCTGAGTAACAATTCTCTGGCACTCAGTAACAATTCTGTCTGTCCCTGAGTAACAATTCTCTGGCACTCAGTAACAATTCTGTCTGTCCCTGAGTAAAAATTCTGTGGCCCTAAGTAAAGTTTCTGTGGCCCTGAGTAACAATTCTCTGGCACTCTGTGTAACAATTCTCTGTAACAATTCTGTCTGTCCCTGAGTAACAATTCTCTGGCACTCAGTAACAATTCTGTCTGTCCCTGAGTAAAAATTCTGTGGCCCTAATTAAAGTTTCTGTGGCCCTAAGTAACAATTCTCTGGCACTCAGTAACAATTCTGTCTGTCCCTGAGTAACAATTCTCTGGCACTCGTAACAATTCTGTCTGTCCCTCCCTGAGTAACAATTCTCTGGCACTCAGTAACAATTCTGTCTGTCCCCTGAGTAAAAATTCTGTGGCCCTAATAAAGTTTCTGTGGCCCTAAGTAACAATTCTCTGGCACTCAGTAACAATTCTGTCTGTCCCTGAGTAACAATTCTCTGGCACTCAGTAACAATTCTGTCTGTCCCTGAGTAAAAATTCTGTGGCCCTAATTAAAGTTTCTGTGGCCCTAAGTAACAATTCTCTGGCACTCAGTAACAATTCTGTCTGTCCCTGAGTAACAATTCTCTGGCACTCGGTAACAATTCTGTCTGTCCCTGAGTAACACAATTCTCTGGCACTCAGTAACAATTCTGTTTGTCCCTGAGTAAAAATTCTCTGTGGCCCTAATTAAAGTTTCTGTGGCCCTAAGTAACAATTCTCTGGCACTCATTAACAATTCTGTCTGTCCCTGTAAACAATTCTCTGGCACTCGGTAACAATTCTGTCTGTCCCTGAGTAACAATTCTCTGGCACTCAGTAACAATTCTGTCTGTCCCTGAGTAAAAATTCTGTGGCCCTAATTAAAGTTTCTGTGGCCCTAAGTAACAATTCTCTGGCACTCAGTAACAATTCTGTCTGTCCCTGAGTAACAATTCTCTGGCACTCCGTAACAATTCTGTCTGTCCCTGAGTAACAATTCTCTGGCACTCCGTAACAATTCTGTCTGTCCCTGAGTATGAATTCTGTGGCCCTAACTAGCGTTTCTTTGTCCCTAAGTAACAGTTCTGTGGCCCTCAGTAACAGTTCTGTGTCTGTGCGAGTAACAATTCTGTGTCTGTGCGAGTAACAATTCTGTGGCCCTAAGTAACAGTTCTGTGGCCTTCAGTAACAATTCTGTGTCTGTGCGAGTAACAATTCTGTGTCTGTGCGAGTAACAATTCTGTGGCCCTAAGTAAAGTTTCTGTGGCCCTAAGTAACAATTCTCTGGCACTCAGTAACAATTCTGTCTGTCCCTGAGTAACAATTCTCTGGCACTCAGTAACAATTCTGTCTGTCCCTGAGTAAAAATTCTGTGGCCCTAAGTAAAGTTTCTGTGGCCCTGAGTAACAATTCTCTGGCACTCAGTAACAATTCTGTCTGTCCCTGAGTAACAATTCTCTGGCACTGAGTAACAATTCTGTCTGTCCCTGAGTAAAAATTCTGTGGCCCTAATTAAAGTTTCTGTGGCCCTAAGTAACAATTCTCTGGCACTCAGTAACAATTCTGTCTGTCCCTGAGTAACAATTCTCTGGCACTCAGTAACAATTCTGTCTGTCCCTGAGTAACAATTCTGTGGCCCTAATAACGTTTCTGTGGCCCTAAGTAACAATTCTCTGGCACTGAGTAACAATTCTGTCTGTCCCTGATTATGAATTCTGTGGCCCTAACTAGCGTTTCTTTGTCCCTAAATAACGATTCTGTGGCCCTCATTAACAAGTCTGTGTCCCTGAGTAATGGTTCTCTGTCCCTAAGTAACTTTTCTCTGTCCCCAATTATCGTTTCTGTGGCCCTAACTCTGTCCCTGTCCCTAGTACAGAGCGGTCTGCCTCTGTTCAATAACTGCAGGCAAATGAAGAATTCCAAAATGGCCGCTATTTATAGCTCGACCATTACACAGTGCTGGCTGGCTGGCTGCTGATAGGCTGATGCGATCACATGTAGTTGAGGCATGCATTATGGGTCAGCGCGCCTTGTCTGCGCGCCTTCCCAGACATCGCCGCTCCGTCGCCGCACATGTCAGCCGCCATTTTCTGAAAAATTTCGATTCGCGCGTCCGAATTAGGCTATTTTTTCGGATTCGGCACGAATCAAAATTTTTCAGATATTCGACTCGAATTCCACTTCGGATACTTCGATTCGCTCATCTCTAGTTGGGAGGGAAGGGAAAGAAAAGAGGTCAATAGAAGGGACAAAGTAGAAATGTATGGATTATTTATATGTATTGTGTCTCTTTTTATGGAACGTTTGTAATAACATGAAAAATTAATAAATATTTAAATTAAAAAAAAAAAAAAAAAAAAAAAAAAGAACCAAGAATGAGTGATCAAAGCCATTAGGGATAAAATGCTCAATCCAAGGAGTCCAGATAAATTTAAAGGCTAGCTCCACCTTTTACACCATGTTACAGCCAGTGTAACATGTAGGGGCTCATTTGCAGTTGAGCTGCATTTTTAATCCCCCCAAACACTCTTACTCTGCAAAGGCAGCGGACAAGGGTGTTCCCATGCAGTGGCTGTAATGATTTTCTTTGCAGCCACGGCAGGACTTAAACCTGCTCTTACATTTGGCAGGCACTACAGCTCCCTGAGCGCAACCTATTCAAGTGAATGGGCCCACACTACAAATACCTTGCAACCTCATGCAACCGCCCTGCAACTAGGCTTTTATGGGGTTAAAACAGGCAGTGAGGAGGTTTCATATTGCCCCCTCACCGCCTTTTCACGCCTCTTAAAAAACGATCTGACCGTGGACTGATTTCTAGAGGTAGTCCTTCCCGGATATGTAAATGAGCCCTAACATAATTGCACTGTTCAGGTGCATTAATGCAAGCATATAGATGCGCTTTTATGCCTTGCAGTATATTTATTTTAAAATTGGCTAATGCACATTTCCGGCAGTGCACCACGCCGCACGTCCAGCAAGGTGTGTTGAGTTGCCATCTGGAATAAATGGTATTGCAGTGTAAGCGAGTAACGTGAGTTGCAACATGTGACCACAACGCAGTAATAAATTGAGCCTATAGGCAATTGTATGCTTTTGATTTGTATTTACGTTCTTAGGCTATATTCTTGGCAGATCAGATGTGTTATGGCCACTATATGGCGCTGAGTATCATAGGAAACAAAGTATGATCTTTGACTCAATCTATTGGCCATAATGTGTCATTTTCCCCATTGGCAATGTTCTTTTTAAATGAACAACATTCTATCTACAGAGAATATAGCCTAAAAGCATTTGATTTTACCACAATTGCACAGAACAAGTTTTCATGTAGTTTTGCTGGACAAACTGCTATGCAATTTATTTAGAGAATACACCTCTAGGTGTGCTGAAACTTCTAACAGTGCCACAGACAGAAAAAAAATAGCTTTTCATTAGTGCACCAGGGAAAGGCTAGAACCCCCGTCACATCTGAATTTGATCTCTGGATAGGACTGAAAAACGAAAATAAGATCTAATTTTTCCCTACTCTGGATTAGCACACACTACAAAGTATATCCATAGGCAGGGGCGGACTGACAACTCATGGGGCCCCCGGGCAATTGGGGATCATGGGGCCCCTGTGTCCTTGCCCACACTCAAAACATACCCAAAAAAGCCTATAAAAAGGTACCAGGGGCATTTTATGGGGCCCCCTACTGAGCCTGGGCCCTTGGGCAGTGCCCAAGTGCTCGAATGGTCAGTCTGCCCCCTGTCCATAGGCAAAATGTTTCTTTTTGGTTTAGGATAGCGTAGCAAAGGTTAAAACATGTTCCACTTTTCTGCCTTTTTTTGTATTATTAGGGAGCTTTCCTTTCACTTCTAGTCAATTTCTAAATGACACAACAGGAAGTAAGATCTCATCAGAACAGGTGTTCCCACTGGAAGATTTCCAAAATTTAGAGTTGTCACTGGAACAGGAGGTGAGGAAATTCTCATCGCTCTCTGTCCTAGTGACAATGCCTGCCAGGACATATAGAGAATCTATATGTCTATCTTCCCTGGCTGAGGTTCAAACCCTTCTGTACTTTAACCAAAATTTATTGATACACTTTAAATACTTGTTTCATGCAACTAGATAACAACTTGATACCTAATCAATAGTGAATTAACATGTAACATAACATTATCATAAGATAAAATAGCAACTGACAAAGTAAGAAGGTTTAATCTTAAACTGCATAGAGGATTCTTTACTGTCAGAGTGGTAAGGATGGGGGACTCCTTCCACAGTTGGTAATGTCAGGGGGAAGTGTTGATTATCTAAAAAAAAAAAAACAGTTAGAATGGCATCTTAGGGACCGCAATATACAGAGATACACCATATTGCCAAAAGTATTGGGACACCCCTCCAAATAATTGGATTCAGGTGTTCAAATCACCTCCATGGCCACAGGTGTATAAAGCACCTAGGCATGCAGACTGCTTCTACAAACATTTGTGAAAGAATGGGTTGCTCTCAGGAGCTCAGTGAATTCAAATGTGGTACCATAATAAGTTACCACCTGTGTAATAAGTCCATCCATGAAATTTCCTTGCTACTAAATATTCCACAGTCAACTGTTAGTGGGATTATAACAAAGTGGAAGCAACTGGGAACAACAGCAACTCAGCCACCAAGTGGTAGGCCAGGTAATATGACAGAGCGGGGTCAAGGCATGCTGAAGTGCACAGTGCGCAGAAGTCACCAACTGTCTGCATTCGATAGCGAAAGACCTCTAAACTTCATGTGGCCTTCAGATTTACACAACAAAGCGTCAAATGCAGTGGTGTAAAGCACGCCACCACTGGTACCTTTTTATAGGCTTTTTTGGGTATGCTTTGAGTGTGGGCAAGGACACAGGGGCCCCATGATCCCCAATTGCCCGGGGGCCCCATGAGTTGTCAGTCCGCCCCTGCCTATGGATATACTTTGTAGTGTGTGCTAATCCAGAGTAGGGAAGAATTAGATCTTATTTTCGTTTTTTCAGTCCTATCCAGAGATCAAATTCAGATGTGACGGGGGTTCTAGCCTTTCCCTGGTGCACTAATGAAAAGCTATTTTTTTTTCTGTCTGTGGCACTGTTAGAAATGTCAGCACACCTAGAGGTGTATTCTCTAAATAAATTGCATAGCAGTTTGTCCTGCAAAACTACATGAAAACTTGTTCTGTGCAATTGTGGTAAAATCAAATGCTTTTAGGCTATATTCTCTGTAGATAGAATGTTGTTCATTTAAAAAGAACATTGCCAATAGGGAAAATGACACATTATGGCCAATAGATTGAGGCAAAGATCATACTTTGTTTCCTATGATACTCAGCGCCATCTGGTGGCCATAACAAATCTGATCTGCTGAGAATATAGCCTAAGAATACAAATCAAAAGCACACAATTGCCTATAGGCTCAATTTATTACTGCGTTGTGGTAACATGTTGCAACTCACGTTACTCGCTTACACTGCAATACCATTTATTCCAGATGGCAACTCAACACACCTTGCTAGACGTGCGGCGTGGTGCACTGCCGGAAATGTGCATTAGCCAATTTAAAATAAATATATACTGCAAGGCATAAAGCGCATCTATATGCTTGCATTAATGCACCTGAACAGTGCAACTATGTTAGGGCTCATTTACATATCCGGGAAGGACTACCTCTAGAAATCAGTCCACGGTCAGATCGTTTTTTAAGAGGCGTGAAAAGGCGGTGAGGGGGCAATATGAAACCTCCTCGCTGCCTGTTTTAACCCCATAAAAGCCTAGTTGCAGGGTGGTTGCATGAGGTTGCAAGGCATTTGTAGTGTGGGCCCATTCACTTGAATAGGTTGCGCTCAGGGAGCTGTAGTGCCTGCCAAATGTAAGAGCAGGTTTAAATCCTGCCGTGGCTGCAAAGAAAATCATTACAGCCACTGCATGGGAACACCCTTGTCCGCTGCCTTTGCAGATTAAGAGTGTTTGGGGGGAATTAAAAATGCAGCTCAACTGCATGTTTTTATGGCCCTCTAACCACAGGAGCAAATGAGCCCCTACATGTTACACTGGCTGTAACATGGTGTAAAAGGTGGAGCTAGCCTTTAAATTTATCTGGACTCCTTGGATTGAGCATTTTATCCCTAATGGCTTTGATCACTCATTCTTGGTTCTCTGACATACTCAACCATCACCCAAAAGGGGAAGTTCTGCTTTAAAGTGTTACTAAACCCACAACCGTAAAATCAGTTTTTATATGCAGTAAAGCATACTTGTTATACTCACTGTGGAACCTAAGGGGTTAATCTGCATTTTGTAAAAAGGCTGTTTGATCCAGTCTTCTCTGATCCTCCCCTTCTTCCAGTGACCTCCTCTTATCTCTGATAAGACATACCGTGTGGAGTCATTCTGCACGTGCTCAGTTTGGTGTGTATTGCTAGAGAGTTTTTTTTTTTTCTTGGGAGAGTGCATGTGATCAGCACAGGGCCAATCAGCACTGTCCAGACAGAGGTCAGGGGTCCTGCATCCTCCTAAAGCAGAAAGACAACTCCCCCTACAAGCTCTAACATGTGTTCTGCTGGACACAGATAGAAGTCACAAGACTGCTCTAACTGCTGATGAGAAAAGGTATTTAGCAGGTTATATTTACTAAAATAATTGCATTTCCGTGTCCTGTGTATTGTGGGAGACCAGATGTAGTGAATGCAGGGTCCTGGGTTTAGTAAGATTTTAAGGCTTTATCCCCCGCTCCCTCTTAAGAATTGGCACCTTTGGGGAGTGGGTCCCCGAATTTGACAGGTACCCGCTACCACTTCCGCTGTGATCATGCATGCGCAGTGGGCACCTGGCTGTGAAGCTGGATGCCCACACTGAAGATGCCTGCGTCAGGGTGAGACTGAGGACAGCTGGTGAAAGCGGCTGTTGTGGCTAGAGCTCCACTTTAAGTGCCCCACATATGTGGTTGAAAATAATGGCCTAGATGCATCACCAGTTACCCCCTCCCTTTTCTTGGACTCCCCGAATCACTTTCTTTTCTTTCCTCTTGGTCCTCTTTCTCCTCCTCTGCTTTTCCATTTTTTCTTCTCTATATATTTCTCCATTGATCCCTGATCCACACATCTATTCACAACTCATCTGAGGCCACAGAGGCTTTTTGGACCCAAACCCCACATTCCATTCTCCGAGCACCATTTATTTATCATTCTAAAGGTCTACGCCCCTCTTTCTCTCATGTAGTGGAGACCTGTTCTCTGGAGTGACGAATCACGCATATTTGTCTGGCAATCCAATGGACATGTCTGGGTTTGGTGGTTGCCAGGAGAACAGTACTTGCCTGACTGCATTATGCCAAGTGTAAAGTTTGGTGGAATTATGGTGTGGGGTTTTTTTTTTTCGGGGGTTGGGCTTGGCCCCCTAGTTCCAGTGAAGGGAGCACTTAAGATGTCAGCATACCAAGACATTTTGAACAATTTCATGCTCCCAACTTTGTGGAAACAGTTTGGGGATGGCCCTTTCCTGTTCCAACATGACTGCACACCAATGTATAAAGAAAGGTCCATAAAGACATGAATGAGCGATGGGGTGGAGAAACTTGATTGGCCTGCACCTCAGCCCAAGAGTCCTGACCTCAACCCAATAGAACACCTTTGGGATGAATTAGAGCGGAGACTGCAAGCCAGGCCTTCTCGTCCGACATCAGTGCCTGACCTCACAAATACACTTCTGGAAGAATGGTCAAACATTCCCATAGACACCCTCCTAAACCTTGTGGACAGCCTTCCAGAAGAGTTGAAGCTGTTATAGCTGCAAAGGGTGGGCCAACTCAATATTGAACCCTACGACTAAGACTGGGATGCCATTAAAGTTCATGTGCGTGTAAAGACAGGCCGACCAATACTGTGGCAATATAGTGTATGGGAAATGTACTATGCAAAATAACTATGCAACTATGTAACTATGTAAAATACCAAGTAAGAGACAATGTGTGATTTATAGATTTGTGTTGTATATTTATCCCATTGTGAGGTACATATAAAGTCCCCGTTTTTCAGAGCGAGATAGTTCAACATTTATTCCTAGGTGTGCTCTTGCTCTTATGATTGCTCTTTTGTTTCTGCTTTAACTATGTAAAGTAACTCCATCTAAGGGCCCATTCACACTGTTCAGGACTGTTATGTGAGTACATTTACACGTGATATGCCCCTTTATTTTGAATGGGCTGATGCACAAAAAGGTGCAAATACCATTTTCGATGGTGCACCACAGCACTTGTGCCTCAGCAGGGTATATTGGGGTGCCATGCAGAATAAATGGAACTGTATTGTTCCAATGCAAATAATGTGTATTGCCAAGCGTCACCCTAACGCCGTTGCCCTTAGTGAATTGCGCCTTATGCCAGTCATGTGTGCTTTCAAAATATATTTATTTCACCGCTTAGTGACCTTTAACATCTTGACATTACAGTTTCATAGTTCAAAACATTACTTTATAGAATGGAAAATGATTCATTTAATGTTCCATACTATAACCATGAACATATGACTGGGCCTGCAGTGACGTCAGTCACGATACTGTGTTATTTTCTTGTTACGCGGCGTGTTCAAAGACTTGTAATTTATAGAGCATGTAAATGGGTTTCATTCTTATGAGCAGTATCTGGTGGAGATATGCTGCTCCAGACCTGAGGTCCATATGGAAGCAGGCGGCATTTAAAAACTGCTGACAATGTCCACTGAAGAGCTTGATCATTATCAGAGAGAATAAAAATATAATATATTGCAACTTACTAGTCCTTAGATGAGGTGGTTGCATTACTTTTTCTTTTTCAGGCATTTTTGCTTTATTTCATCTGATGATCCTGCCAGTAACACAAAAAGGGGTCTATTTATTAAAAACAAGTCTATTTAGTAAAAAAAAGTGAATGTCTCAATCGCTTGCACAGCTGTCACAGATAACCCCTGTAATTTGCTATGTTTATTTCCTATGATCATCAGCTCCATCTAGTGGTCACAACAATTGGGGTGTTTAAGGAAAATACTACAATATGGCCACTAGATGTAGCTAACAAACATAGAAAGTAAATATGTTAGACAAATTACAGGGAATATTTGTTATGGCTGTGAGTATGATTAAGATATTTGCAGAGAAAAATTTTAAATAAATAGGTTGAAGGTTAGTTTAGACTTGTAATGGTAGTGGTGGTGGGGGCATTAAAAATGCATGGCTGAGCTGTGTTTTTACAGCCCTCCAACCGCCTGCCCTTAAAGTGATTCTAAAGGCACAATATTTATTTTTAAAACAATGCCAAACATGTCATATTATGGTTTTGCACAGAGCAGCCCCGTTTCTCCTCTTCTCAGGTTCCCCACTAGCACTCATGGCTTCTCCCCCCCTGCCGCGTGCTCCCATAGCAAGCCACTTGCTATAGGGGCACTCATACATGCTCGCTCCCAAGCCAGCTCTGTGTGTCCATTGGCACACAGAGCATGGCTCAGTGCCGCTCCCTCTCTCTCCTCATTGGCTGTGATTGACAAGAGCAGGAACCAATGGCTCCTACTGCTGTCTCTCTGTTTAATGAGAAAAGAGCCGCATTGGATCGAGGCCAGACTCAGATAAGTGCATACAGAAAGTTTTTCACCTTAAGTTTTTCTGCATTAAGGTAAAAAAAAAACCCCCTTCTGCGTTTAGAACCACTTTAAGTTGCAATAGCCGAGGATGGGGGTTCACATGCATCACTATGGCAAAAATGATCTGACATGTTGTGCAACTCATCCAGGCGAGGCAAATGCCTGATGCAATGCACAAGGTTATGGCATGTTTGTAAGGCAATTATGGGGTTAAAACAGGTGGTGAGGAAGCAGCACATCTGAATGTGGATCACTTTTCAGAGGAGCATAGGTTTAGATGCAGGTATAGACCTAGCCTTAGTGTGTTAGAACTACAAAACCTCCCCCTCTTCTCAGCTCCATTACATAATAGGGATGAGTGTGTTCTGTAGTCCTCTGAGATAAATGCTGATAACATTGTTCGAAACTTTAGATCAGCACTGTCAATTCACTACAAGAAGTTAGAGTCTTATTAGATTTCTGGCAGGATCAACTTTTTTTTCACTTGCCCAGCATATATAACAAAACACTTTCAAATGTATATTTACCAGAAGAGGGGAAGTATGAGAAGTTCATTACTAGGAATTACTTACACAACTCCTACATGACATAACTGACATATGACAGGAACTGAGTTACAATAATTTGCTTGTGTGAAGGTTAAAAATAAAATGAAAAAAAAAAAAAAAAAAAAACACTGTGCTGTGATAATGTTCAGTGAAATCATTCTGTGGTCACTGGCTAAGGACTAGTCATATGTTTTCTACACAGGTTCACCACATGTGGTGAATGACAGCAATAGACAGCTGGGTATATCTGCTGAATGGCTGGTATTGCCTGATCGTTAGTCACCTAATAGCATCGATGACAGAGATCACATGACTAATGCCAAGGTACTTTTTGGGCCTGTGACTGAGCAGCAGAAGAATGCAGGAACAGTGCCGGATTGACAACTCATGGGGCCCCCGGGCAATAGGGGATCATGGGGCCCCTGTGTCCCCTTGCCCAAACTCAAAAAAGCCTATGAAAAAGGTACCAGGGGCATCTCATGGGGCCCCCTACTGACCCTGGGCCCTCGGGCAGCGCCCGGGTTTCCAAATGGTCAGTCCGCCCCTGTGCAGGAATAGGATTTTTCATGACATGGATAAACTTGACTAGACAAGCTTGAAAGCCTTGATCAATTTTTTTTCATGGGGCCATTTGGCATCAGTAGCTATCTGCAAACCTTCCCTCTTCATCCTCTTTCACTTAAAGCAAATCTAAACCCAAGAAATGAAATGTAAAATATTGCAGCTTACCAGGACCCTAATATGACTGTAAGTTAGGGACCTTAGATTGTACGCCCCTTGAGGGTTAGGGACTGATGTGAATGTACAATATATATGTAAAGCACTGCATAAATTGATGGCACTATATAAGTACCTGAAAGAAAGAAGAAAAAAAAGCATCATCAAAGCATCAAAAACACATTATTATTATACAGGATTTATATAGCGCCAACAGTTTGCTCAGCGCTTTACAATATAAAGGGAGACAATACAGCAACAAGAGGGATACAGTTTACAATACAAAAAAAAGAGGCGGTATAATGTGTGTTGAAGTAGAAGCAGGGCTTTTTTTTTCAGTGGGAACATGGGGGAATGCAGTTCCAGCACCTCCAGCAGTGAATGTATATAATGGCAAAGAGTGCTGGGGTGTGCTGGCTGCTGGGGGAATATACTGTAGCTGGTGGGGGTCTATTGTTGCTGGGGGTTTATTGTTGCTGGTTGTTCAATTGCTGGGAGGGATCTACTGTTGAGGGAGACATCTATTGTTTGGCTGCTGGGGGGTCTGTTGATGCTGGCTGCAAAGAGATCTGTTGTTGCTGCTGGGGGTCTATTTATGCAGGGGGGGCATTGTTGCTAGGGGGAAGAATATGTTGTGTGGGGGATCTATTGTTAGTGAGGTAGTCTATTGTTTCTGGGGGGGTCTAGTTGTTGGTATGGGTCTATTGTTGCTCACTGCAGGGGAGTTACTTTACTGTCTTTCTTGTTATCATTAACAAATTCTGTGCAAATTGGTATTGTATTGTCTAAAAGGGACGGAACTGGGAGGTGGGTAGGAGATGGAACCAAGGCATGGTGCTCAGAGGTGGGTAGAGTGAAGAAATGAAGGGTCACTCAGAAGGTGGGAGTTCCTGCACCTATTCTCCAAGAAAAAAGCCCTGAGTAGATGCAAGTGTAAATGAGCCCTGTCGTGTGACAGAATCGTGCCAAAACACACTGTTAAAAATCGCATGAAGCTCACCGCCCAAAAAGGAGCAGGTAAAAAATTGCAGTAAAATGCATGATTCACATTTGGGTACCATTCATTTTTAATAGTGCCCCACAGTGCGATATTGTCATGTGACAGAATCGCGTGGAAATCGCTGCAAAACAGGTCTTTAAAAATTGCACAAAGCTCAAAGCTCATCGCCCAAAAAGGAGCAGGAGCTTTTTTTGGGTGACAAACGCTCATAGGGCAGACCATTGAGGTGAATGCACAATACACAGAAATGTGTGGGTGGGAGCGCTCATTCCTGCTACACGAGATCTGAACGGGGCCTTAGGGATTGCATTTTGACAGCAACACTGCAATTTTTCAGAAAGAAAAGTAAACTTAGCCCTTTGCTAGCTGAGGATGGCGGGTGATCCGGGCCGTACGTCTGCACAGTCCATAGTAATTATAGGTTTCCAGACAAGTGGGTTATGAATAGCATTAGCTGGACATGATC